ATCCATAGCTAGAACATCTGATTGGTTCTTACTATTTGCATATTCTAATAGAGTTTTGTTTTGATCATGGGTGTTGGTATTTAGGTTTGGGGAGAGGTTGAGTTGGATTACATGTAGAGGTAGAGGGAGAGAATTATCAGGTGGGAAGTTGGTATATTGAGAGGAGCAATGTTCAACAACATAAAGGGATTGATTGAGGGGGTTGAGATCTTGATTATCAACTGGTTGCTTATGGCTACTGTTGCTAGTGATAGGGGTATCTGGATTGGTGTTGGAAGAGCTGATGTTGCCAGAGAAATGGTTATCATTGGCCTTCATCTATTCACCATAGTTTCCTTCTGTCAGGCTTTCTTGAGCAATGTCAGCTACTCTCTTTTCACAACAAGTGGCCAAGGATTCCATAGTAATAACACATACTGACCAACTTTTCATACTTAAATTCCATAATATTTATCATGTTTCCAAGTTTTAGACTTGCACATCGAGGCAGGGGCTGGTTCAGATAGATAGTAACCAGAAGCCTTAAACATTTTTGTGCTAGAGCACCTCTATGAGGGATTTGGACGTCCTTAAATTTTTTAAGATTCTGCCTAACTTCAGTCCCACTTCAGCAGAGATCCCATGGAGAGAAACTCTCTAAGCTTGGACCCAAATATCAAGTTTAGAGAATTCTGGGCGTCCTGAGTGGAGATATTCCTTCCAATTTTTCAGCACTAGGTATTGGTTCTCAAATGTCCAATTGTTCCCTTTTGTAATTTTCTTTTTATCAGCTAGCTCAGAGAAAACAAACTAGAAGTAATTCAGTTCCAACTCTTTAACTACCACATTTTCCTTAATTTGCCAGATATGTGAAATAGTTTTTTTTCAGTCCGAGAAGGTGAGTGCGCTTAACCCCTATTATCTTCACAAATAGACTCCTATTACATTTATTCAAGCTAACCTGGATATCCTCTGCTTCTATCGCAATAACTTCCTCTTCCTTTCCAGAGAGTTTGAACGCTCCAAGTTTTGATAAGAGTTCGTCTTCCATGAAGACCAAATAGAGAATTACGGTGGTAGAGGTTAAAGGAGAGTCCTGCATACTACAACCAAACACCAAAAAACACAACAAAAAAAGCCCTAAAAATCCCTAGAAACAAAAACAAAGAGGCAAAGGAAGAGGAAAACCAACAAATATCAATCTAACCTAAAGTTGAGATGATGCTGAATTTCGCAAACAAAATAGTCACATGCAAAGGAAATCAAACTCCCAAAGAGAGAAAATCGAGCCAATAGAATGACACATTTTAAAATTTTTTTCGCACAATAATAGTGTTTTTCAGAAAGGTTTTTCATTTGATGATATATGTTTTACGCCTTAAAATGCCGTGTGTTAGAGAGTTTTTCATTTAGAAATGTATAAGCATTTGATTTGTATATTTAGAAATTATTTTCATGATATTCATATACACAATAGCATAAAACAATTTAGGTGTTTTTAGATATATTATTAACTAACACCATGACACATCCACAATAGAACTAGCTAAAAGCCATATCAACAAAATAAAACCTTCAGAAGTACTCAAAAACTATTTAACTACCCAAAACAAGTATAAATTTCAAGCTCAAAAAACAACCTTCCCGTGGGAGAATAGTAGTCTGATGATGATCACACTCCCAACGTACAACCATTTCAAATAAATCAAATTTAAAAACCAATTCAATAAGCCAAAAAGTAAATTACATTCTGTATATGTGCATTATTTACATCATCATCATATAAGGCCTGTGCTCCCAAAAGGATTGGTCGTTTGTGGGTGAACAGAGGGTGCCACAGGGAAAGCTCCAAATCCTGCATCGCCAAAAGGGTTTTGTGGGCCCATCTGTGGCTGGGTCTGTGGATAAGAAACTGCTGGTTGAAATGGCCCAAATGGGTTATTAGCCATCTGAACTGACGAGTTGTTAGGGACCGCAGCACTGTTGGATACCGAAAATGGGTCGTTGACTTCAAACGGGTTAGGAGCTCCTGGTGATGGTGCAGGTGCTCCATACAACGGTTGCTGGGATGCTCTATACGCGCCATCTTCATATAAACTTTCAAGCGTAAGCAAGTCCAGTCCCCCAGCCTGGCATTTCATTCATCCATAATTTCTCGGTTAAAAATAATAACAAAGGAGAAAAAAGCTAATAATGAAAGGCCCTGCAATATGATCTGACTACGAAAAAGCTAAGTGTAGAAGAATCAGATAACCGAAACCATTTTTGAACCGAACAGATTATTACGGTCTGGTTAAGGTCAGTTACCAAAAACTATTTTACATTGCACTTTTAATTTGGACAATAATAGCACTGTACCATGTTTACCTTAGACAAGTA